TGAGGCATCCCATACATTTGGAGAAACAGAGAACCTGCCAGCAGAATTTTTGAATCTCCTTGCTTACAAAACCAACAAGCTCTTTCCTTTTAGGGCTCAGTTTGAGTTGTGACATTATCCAATACCTTTCACTTAAATTCACTAGACTACTTTAAAGAGGTGGCGATTCACGACTCAATTTACAATGTCCACCTACGCTCTGGTCTTGTATCAGCAGGTTCCATGTTTGCTATCACAACTCCAGGGCATCTGGAAAAGCAACTGGAGCCAAGCCTCAGAAGTGGTATTCTGTGCTAATCTTAAAATGTTTGGTGTATTTATTTATTGACTGTGTCTTTTGCTTTTCCTTAATTTCATTTTGCAATGAGAAAGCATTTTGCAATGAGAAAGTAATGAGAAAATTTTCCTGGAGCAAGTACAGAGCCCCATTAACTCAAAACCAGCCTTCCTCATCCACTGAACAACTGAAGGTTAGAGCAAAGAAAAAACATGCATATAAGGCAAAAGAACAGCTCTTCTTGGCTGGACATGACTCATGTTTTCCTCCTCCTGTTTGGTTTCTGGAAAACACCGAACTCAAGAGGGCAACTCTGCCTTCGCTTTCCAGCTATTAGAACTTCTGTTTAATTTCCTGTCACAGCCTTGCAAAGAGTTCCTCAGAAATAAAGTCTCGTCGTCATCAATTAACCACACGCTCTCTCCCTCGCCACAACTTTTTCAAACACCCCTGTCTCACAGCGGGCTTTTACTCTCCCTTTGTAAACCAGAGATGGACGCTCCAGCTCTTCTGAACACAACGCCAAGAAAAAAATACAACCTGTGGCTCTATTAATATCCAGAAGATGGCTAATCAAAGGATTCTTCTGGCCGCTCTTCCCTCGCCCAGGCACATCTGCTGCTCACCTTCCCATTTCGCAGCTCCGCTTCTCCATGCATGTGGAGTCCCTCGGATCCCTCGATTTACCGGAACAACTGCAAGCTGCCCGGACTGACAGTGATGGCTTCTTTTCCCCTTTGTGCCGCAGACGAATCGTCCTTTGAGCCATTGAACCGCTGGCACCACCATCCCCCTGCTTTGGATAGTAATTCTTGCGGGGGCAAGAAAAATGCAGGCATCCTCACCTGGCTGTTAAACATTTGCAAACAACACAACAAACCCAAGAGGCCATGCAGAATTTTCCTGGCTGCAGCTCAGTCTGGGAAAAGTTATCCGAAGATGTGATCAGAGTCTGCTCGTCTTGCGAAGTCTGTGTGCCATTTTCTAAAAAAAATAAGGGTGCCCCCTTGCCGGTACTTTGCCAGTGGGTTTCCTTCCTGAGTCAACAAGGGCAGAGGTTGTGGGGGGGGGGCGGGGGGAAGGCCCTCCCTCGGTCAGCAGTGGGAACCTCACATCCCTCCAGATCTAGCCCGCCCAGGAGTGTGGCGTGCTCGTGGCTGTGTGCTGCAGCCTCATGGGATATGCAGGCCAGGATATCTGGAGGGCCACAGGGCATCTGGGCTTGGCCCGGACTGGCACAGGGTCTTTCTACAGTCTTTGCATGGGGGGGCTTCTGTGGGCGGAGGGACGCGGCAACCTCCGGGCCAGACTGAGCCCGAGGCGGTGGCCCTCGCTTCTGGGGCCGCCAGTGGCCCTTCCCCTCTGCCCCGGGCCAACCGGGAGTCTGTTTTCTTGCCCACGCTGCCTCGCAGCTGCTGCCACACACCCGCCCTGTGCACCCGCCCGGCAAAGCACAAAGCCGCATCCATGTGGAGGGACCGGCGCTGGGAATTATGGGCTGTGACGACCGGCTTGGCTGGTTCCAAGATGAGAAGCCATCGACTGGGCCAAAGGGCCGAACCTCATCAGCGTGCAAAGAAGCCGCCAAGCTGCAAGTCAAGTGCTGTGTGTGTGTGTGTGTGTGTGTGTGTGGCACAGAGACTCGCACATCTGGCTGGAAACCCCGATCCCAGCTTCCAGCACTGAGCAAGCAGGCTTTGATGACTGAGCCAGGAGGGGACAGGCACTCTGTGTATGCTCAAACACACTGCTTCCTGGAACGTTTTAAAAACATGTTCCTTGGCTGATCCCTGCAACTGAAAGAAGAGGCCAGGGATGAGCTCTGGGGAGAAGGGGTGCAGCAAAATCTTGCTCTTGCAGCTCATGTGCGACAGAAGCAGTCCAGGGAGGGGAAATGAAGGCCGCCCTACCAGAAGCATCCCTTGCACCCAGTGCTTTCTGGGGGGGGGGGGAATTCCAAGCTGCAACTTGGCCCCCCCCACACAGAGAGAGAGAGAGAGAGAGAGAGAGAGAGAGAGACTGGCATCACCTGCGGTGTTCTACTGGCACCTGCTGCACACTTCAAGAATTGCATCAGGGTTTCCGCTTTCCTTCAGTTCGCTTTTTGCAGCCCTGCGAAAACAGCCCTATCCAAAATTCTTTCCAAATGCTTTTCGGTGGCACGACTTCTTCTCCAGGCCAGATGCTCTGTAGGCATTCTGTGTCATTCTAAAACTTACAAAGTATATTTGGGGCTGCATTTCACGCTGATGCATGAATGCATCACTTTGTGCTCATGGTGCATTTTATTTTTCCAAAGGGTTTTCCCATTTTCCTGAACTTGCATCTTCATGCATTGATGAAAATTCACACTTGCACAAACTTGTGCTTCCAAAAATGGTTAACACCCCCAGTACCTTTTTCACATTTTAGCCTTGCGTGGGAGGGGGATGCACAGTTTGATTTTTAAAAAATAGTTCCTATTTTTCTGCAACTAAATCTGCATGCATTCTGGAAAGGAAAGAACGGTTTCAGGTGTGCAGATCGTGCAACTCCGGAAAAGCAGGTCCAGAAAAGCTGCAGAATCTGTAGGTCAGAGTCACAGACATCCAAACTCATTTCAACCTGCTGCAGGTTCCTCCAATGCTTCCGATTGTGCATTTGTGCACGGGAAATACCGGCGAATTATGACAAAACACAAGGCGGAATGAGATCCCCCCGTTGTTCTCACTTTATTAAGGTGTGACATGAAGAGGGGAGAGGGGTGAACACCAGCATGCGACGGAAATCCAGGTTGCTTTTCTAGTCTTGGTGGAACATTGGCTGTTAAATAGTTGTAAACGGTTTATTATATTGTCGTGAAGTTATTGCATGCTTAACAGAATGCAATTGTCAAGAGGAGGAGGCTGGGGTGGGGCATTTGCCGTGGGGTGGGGAGACGGGGTCACAACATTCCCGATCCGTACGTGCATGCTTTATTTACGAAGAAAGACAAAGGGAAGTCGTCGTTCGAACAGTCACCCACTGTTAGGAAGGGGGTCACCATCTTGTCAACGTGGGGAGGAGAGGTCTGGAGGCTTGGGCTCGGCACTTGAGATGAAAACTTCCACGCGGGGCTTGCAGAACAGCGCCGCAGACGGAGGCTTCTGCCCCACGGAGGAGGCGCCTCCACGCATGACGGAGCGGAAGAGAGTTGCTGACCCCAGAGGGCACGGACTCCGCTTGGGAAGCACCTGCCTCTTCTCTGAGCCTGGACCTGGCGTGTGGGGCTCCCTCATCCGGAGGCCGCATCCAGTCCCCGAGAAGCGCTCAGGGCCACCTCCAGCAGCGGCGTGGCCGCAGGGACGGGGCCGAGCATCCGGGCTGCAAGCCCGTCAGCACAGCAACGGAGACGCGTTTCAGCCCTTCAGAGCATGGGAGATGCCGGGCGAAAGCCGGACAAGCGCCACGGAGCCGGGAAAGGGAGGAGGTGGGGCTGGGGAAGGGGGCAGGGCGGGTCCCAAAGGATGGACGGGGTGCTTGGCAGGCCAGATTTGGCCCCTGGGCCGGGGCCCGCACCCCGGACCATAAGCTACATGGTCTCGTCAGCCTTCAGGGAGCACGCAGAACCGATTCCGGGCCCTTTGGGAATAAGAGGTGGCCGCCGCAAGGAAGGGGTGGCCCTCCCGGGGAGCCGCGTCTGGGCCAGTGGTGCCGAGGGTCACTTCCCTCTCCTGGTGCCATGACAGGTCAGGAGCATTTCCCAGAATTCCACTGGGAGAGCCAAGCGGGCCGGACCAGTTGCACGTTGGGAAGGGGGAGAAGAGATCCATGGGAAGCCATCTCCCAGACGCGAGCAGGGGCGAGAGGGGCGGGGGCGCGAGACCGGCCTTGGCCTGGCCCTCCAGCTGGGGCGGCTGCCGGAAGCCCCGTCCCTCCGTGCTTCGAGTGTCGCGGCGGTGCGCTGTGGACCGCTCCGGCGAGCCCCTCAGGAATGAGACCGGACCTGCTCAGAACCGCGTCCGTGGCGGCAGAGGGACGTTCCAGAAGGAAAGAGCCGGCGCCAAGCGAGGCGAAGGCTTCGGGGACGCGAGTGGCACTGTTCGCCTGCTCGTTCTAGCGAAGGAATTGGCTTCGAAAGACTCCCACGCTCTGGCCAGCTTTGTTTTCATTCTCGTTTCGATCAGCTGCCCCATGCTCAAAGCAGCCGGATCAGAGGACTGTAGCTGTGCATTTTCCGTTAGCGGTGCTAAAAGTATTTCAGTTCCACGAAGAGAAGAGGGGAGAGTCGCAACGGGGCAGGGGACCTTCCACATGCAGAGACGGGAACAGGGGCAGGGGGCCGGAGGGCACTCGAAGAGCAAAGGCCTTCAGCAGAGGACAGCGCGACGGCGGCGTTGAGGCGAGGGGGCAGAGGGCACCTGTGAAAGCAGGGGCAAACCTGGGGGGGGGTTAAGTGGGGGCTATTGCTGAAAAAAACCTGTACATCAAAGCACCGTGGGGGGAGATGGCCACAACGTGGGTCGGAACGGTCACGATACAAAATGGAGAGGAGAACCGGCTTTGTCCTGGGTGTGAGGATGCGGAAGGGAGGAGAGAACGAGGCGGGGAGAAAGGACGGGGGGAGGAGGAGGAGGAGGCCGTTCTTGTGAAGGGGCAGGAGACACTGGGAGGAATATTTTCCCGGGCAAACGGAATACAAATGTGTTGGGAGACGGGCTGCTGGGCAATGTACAAGAGGGGGGCGGGGGGCTGGCGGGGCCTCCTAGTCACTGGCCACGTGGTTCTCGTTCTGCAGGGCGTGCCAGCGCTCGATCTTCTTGTCCTTGTTTTTCAGGCACTCGTACCAGTGCTTCAGGCGCTCGCCTTTGGCAGTGATGCCCAGCTGGCACCCTCCTGTGCGGGAGAGGAGTGGAAAGGAGGCCCCTTAACGGCACGAGGCTGGGCACGGAGGCACCCCACAGAGAGGGGGCGCTGTCCCCCCGGCCAGCCCAAATCAGTGCCCCGCTGTCTGTCTGTAAAGCCGGGACTTCAGCATCCGATCAAGTGGAACCTTAACGTTTTCCACTATCCCGTGCAGTGGGTTGATCCGGTCCGAGCATCACCCACGCCCTCCCAGACGCGTCCCCCATCTCAGAAAGCCCCGCCCTTCTCCTGCTCTGCCCCCAGAACTTTTTACGCTCTTTGAAGAACCTGGCCGGGTGCAGCCAGGCGGACGCGCCATTCTCCCCTCCGGGCAACACCCCGCTCGCTGCTTCCGTCGTGCTCCTCCTGCGACTGCGCAGCCTCAGCTACTGCCGGCTCCTGCTCCAGGCAGGCGAGGGGCAGCCGGGGGGGCGGCCGAGGAGCCGGGGGGGCGGCCGGCCATGGTGGGGGGGCGGCCGGCTCCGTGAAGGAGGGACCACAGGGAGTGCTTTGCCCCCAGCCCCGCAAGCCCCGCACCCGGCCCAGGCCGCCCACTAGCCCTCCTGCCTCGGGGATAGGAAGCGCTCACCTATGTAATCGTTGGACTTGCCAATGTCGTAATCCCAAACCGATATGTCCAGCGATTTCTTGGCAAGGTCGCCATGTTTGATGTCGTAGAAAAATTCCTGTCGGAAAGAACGGGTCGGCGCCGACTGTCAGGCGGCCAAGCTGCCCGCCTTCCTCGGAGGAGAGGAGCTGCCGGTGGCGAGCGCGAGGGCAGCCGGCCCCACAGGCCGCAAGCTGAGGCGCTCTTTGTCTCGTGCTGGGAGAATTTCTCCAGGCGTGCCTGGCTCATCCTGCGCCTGGAGCGTTTCACAAGTGAAGTCTGCACACCTTGCGAGCATGGCACAGCTCAGGGGCATTCTGGGGTCAGGGCATCTGGGGGGAGCGCCAAGGACACAGGGGCGACACAGGTCAAGAAGCCCCCGTAGAGCTTCTCCACCCTCAAGCCACCAAAGGGTTTTTCTTTTAAATGGGGGGGGGGGGCAGCATCAATACGTCACTGTCCTGCCTTTATCCAGACTCCGGGCCCTGCAAAAACCTCCCAGACGCAGGAGTGCGCCAAGGAGAGAGGAGACCGCGCATCCTCACCTCGTTAAACTCCGGGTTCAGCGTCTTCTTCTTGATCTGCGTCTTGTGCTTGGCCTTCTTGCCCATGTCCGGCTTCAAGCATCTGAAAGGGGGGAAACGCAGAGGCTTCAGCCCCGCCGAGGGGGCGCGAGGCATGGCCGGGGCACGGGCCGGGTGCAAAGCTGGGCTCGCCGCCCGAGCGAGGAGCATCCGGGGGATGGCAGGGAGCACCTGGGCAGGACCGGCCCGCCCAGCATCCCGCCTCGTCCGGGACCTTTCCAGCCCAGGGCCCCGCGGAGGCCGTGCGGCGACGGGCTCGCCGCGGAAAGAGCGAGGCACCGGGCGCACATTTTCACGAAGGGGTCCGAGTAGCCGTTGGCGTCCATGGCTGCCAGGTGGACGCAGCGCACGATGCCCACCACGAGGCCGCCCTTCTGGGTGCTGTACGTCAGGGACACCAGAATCTTCCCCCGCTCCTCCACGTCGCCGGCCTGGCCCATCTGTGGAGAGCAAGGCGGCGGTGGGGGGGCTGCACACCCAGCCCGCCCCTCCATGGAAGCGGGCTGCCACAGGGCCAAGGGTCCTCCGATGAGGGCCTCCTTGGCGGGGAGTCGAACGAGGCCGGGCGGCGGTGAGGAGTGGCGCCTTACCTCGTCCTCGTACAGGGCCATCCCGCGGGAGGATCCGGTCGTGCCGGTCCGCTTCATCTGTGGAGAAGCATCGGATGAAGACGGGGGGGGGGGGGAGTGAATGCCCCCCAGCAGGTCCAAGCCACTGGCGGAAGGAGATTTCAGCTGCAAGAGGCGGGTCTGGGGTCCCCGGCCCAGCCCCTCTCGCCTCCAGCTGCACCCACAACAGCTCAGACGTGCCCCAGAGCGCATCTCCAGGGCGGAGTTTCGGCCTCAGGCGGAAAGAGTGAGCAGCATGGCGCATGCGCACTCCACGTTCCATCAGGGGCATCTCTGAGCAACCAGAGACAAGAGCCGGGGAGGGAACCCCCCTTCCTGGCGATGCTGCCAGTCAGAGCGGGCGTGCGAGGCCTGTAGGAGCGAACGATCCGGCAAGCGGGCCGAGATGATCAGCAGGGGCTCCGCATGCGGAAGGTCCCCAGTGCCGTCCCTCCATCACCCGCCTGCCAGCCCCCCAAGCGAGGTGTGCTCCCCCCACGTGCTCACTCCCCTCCGGAGCGTCATCGCCCCCTTTGCCGGGCCCGGAGCGCCTGCCAAGCCCCTGCAGCTGGGCAGTCGGCCTCCCTCCGGGGCTCCACGTGGCAGCGCCAGCACACCGAGGCAGCGGGGGCGTGCAAGCAGCCCCCCCTCAGCACACCACCAAGGGGGCCCGAAACTGACCGGGATGACCCTTTCCAGGCAGATGTTGAAGTTCTTCTTCTGGTTGGCCTTCAGCTTCTTCAGAGCCACCCTCGTCTCCCCGATGAACTCGTTGTGCCCGAATTTGTCCTCGTCGCACACGGAGATCCTGAAAGGAGTGGGAGGCACCTCAGGGACGCATCCAGACGTGCCCACGGCCTTGCCCAGTCCTGCCGCTGGGAAGCCTGCCGGCCAAAGCCACCGGTCACCTCGGGACCCTCTGCCCATGAGCACCAGGCCCCCGCGGAGCTTCTGCGGGCCTTGACAAGCCGGCGCAACACTGCCTCTCGCTTTGGGGGCCCGCGTGGTTTTCTGTGCTGGCATCCGGGAGGCTACATGCCCAGCCCTGGGGGGACAACCCAGTGCCCCTTGGGCGACAAGTCCCACTAGCCAAGGCGGGCAGGGATCACGGATCCTTTCCATTCAAAAGCATCAGCTGGGCACCACTGAACCCTCCTCTGGCAGCTGGATTTTTTTAAAGCAGTTTTGAGAAGAGGGTCGTGCCGAGCTCACGCTTCTCTGCAAGTGGCCTGCAGGTGCGTCCTCTGCCACCTCGCTCCGTTGCCAAGGCTGTCGCTGCCTCTTCTTGATGTTCCTCCCCTCCCACCAACCGTGGCGGCGGCTCCAAGCTTCTTGCTAGCCTAGTGGCCCTCAGTGGGGCCCCTCATGGTCCTCGGGGCCCCTGTGCATTTGCTGCCACCGCCTCTCAGCACGCTCTTTGCAGCTGCTCCGCAAGAGGCCAATTTCAGGACGCCCAGACCTCTAGACCTTCCACTGCGCAGCAGAAGATTCGGAGCAGCATCGACGCTACGGGCTAGGACGGTCAGGGACTAATTCAGAGCCCGCAAGCCAGGGGACAGCTCTGCCACTGTCCTCCGGCTTAGAGGAAGAGTCCCCAGCAGGCCACGAAACCAGGAGAGGGTCTGTAGCAGACTAGCCGGCTCCTCAGGAGCAGAGCAGAGCAGAGCATGGGGCAAATCCTGCCAACCCCCACCGTCCTTCCGCTGGCTTTAGCTCCCTGCTGAGACAACACCCTCCCGTGGCTGTCGCAGTGAAAAGGTCAGAGCAGCGGGACCCACTGGGCCCTGTCCAAGACCCCGTTTTCTTTCTGCCTTCATCTGACTGCCACCGCATGCCAGCCGTGAAGGGGTCCCAGCACAGAATACCAGCCAGAGGAGCTGGTGCTTTGGAGAGAGGAGCCCACCCCTAGACTGAGAGCGTGAAACCCGACACAGGCTGCCCTGGCCAGGCCCCCGCGCCCAGCCCGTGGCTTGCCTCAAGGTTTTCCTCTGCATGTCCTCCTCTGTAATGCCATGATAAACCAGCGTCTCGTTCCATGCGGGGTTCCGGGTGTTTCTCAACGTCTTGGTCCTCAATTTGTTTGACTGCCAAGGAACAAGGGGAGAACAAGGCGTCACCAAAATGGGCACGTTCCCCCATCAAGGCAGGCTTCGTTCGGCTCTGACCGGGCCAAGCAGGCAACGCTTTCCAGCAACGCAACCACCACGTTTAATGGACTGGGTTGAGCCCCTCTGGACTCAACCAAATTTGTTTCAGTGTGCAGTCGCGTGCTGCGTGTCAGTGCGCATGTTATTGTGTTGGTTTTATGGGGGATCCTTAATAAGGCATTGAGGGGGGGATTTCAGAACAGCCTTCGCAAGCTTACTCGGCCATGCCACGGATTCCCCACCCCCCTCCTGGTTGAATAATTTTCCTGAGGAATTCTTCCAAATCAGAGAGAGACCCATTTGTCGACTACAGTTTCTTTGTCTCCCAACAATCAATTCCATTTAACCCAAACTTTGTGATTGAAAAAAGAGCATTTGCTTGAAAATTCAGGTGCATTTTGTAATGCATTCGTGCCCTGCCTGGATTTGAGGACTGGCACACAGTTGTGTTGTGACTTTCAGCCACGGCAGGACCGAAGGGTTTACATTCCTTGCGCAAAGCAAACCGCCTTCGGGGTTTAGCTTGGGTCTGATCCAGCTCTCTCCCTCCCGGAAGTTTATTACACAGAACGTAATTGCCCTGCAGAACGCACATTTGCTGAGCTGTCCTTTGACACGGAGAGGAAGGCCAAAATCTGTCAGAGGAACCGAGTCGCCTCCTTTTTTCCATGCTAACAACTGGGACTGGCAAAAACCTTCAAAGGTTTTGAACTGATCTTGTAAAGCTCTGGCAATAATTAGATTTCCTAGCCCACGGCTCACGCCACATTAAGAAGGTCACCTTTGGAAAGTGACTCCACGCTTATTACGGTGTTTTCCCCCCTGTATTGCAGCCTACAAGCTTTGACAATGCGAGAGAACACACAGACCCCACGATGCTGCCAGGGAAGGGCAGGTTGGTGACCCCTATGCCCGTGGGGCTCTGAGCCCCCTGCAGGATTTATTTGGGGTTTACAGGCATTATCCCTGGTCTTGAAGGCCACCCCCCAGGCAGGTTCACCCCCCGGAGGGGCGTGGGTCGCGCCTATCCAGCACGGCGTGCCACTTTTCCTCCACGAACAGCTCCGGCTCAGTGCGTGTGTCCCCGATGCGCCTGAGCCGCTGCAGCTTCCGTACAGGAGCAAAAGCGGCAGAGCCGCTGAGTGACGGGCCCTGGGGAACAGGGCAGCGTGTGCCCCGGAAACAGGGGGCTGGGGTAGGCAAGCCTTTGGCTCTCCAGGCTGTGAAGGGTGGAAAGAGGGTCCTTCTCACCTGTCCAAAGAACGGAAGGGCCAGGCTGGACCAGCCCCCAGGGCCGGCGCTGCCCGCACAGGGCCCGTGGGAAGCAGGAGAGGACCGTCCGGCAGCATCCAGCAAACCGCCTCCGGTCCGTCCTCCTCCCAAGGCGGGACATGCGGCCCCCCTAAACGCCACTTGGCTCACGAAGGATGCGGTTTCCTCTCAGAGAGGGAAGGAAGTCCAGGAAGACCCGGAGAGCGCTTGGCTAGACGAAGGACCCCTCGCGTTACCTTGCTGGCCCCGGGCAGGAGGTGCAGCTTCACGTACGGATCCGCCAGCCCGTTGGAGTCCATCGGCTTCAAGCCCTGGGGGGAGAAAGGGCGCTGGGGTCAGGGGTGCCTCTGAGCAGGAGGAAGCGAGCGGCCGCCCGAAGCTGGCCAGGCGGGTCCAGAAACGGGGCGCCAAGGAGGGTGGGGAGCCGCAGCAAGGGGTTCTCCACAAGGCGGGCCTCCGGGGACTGGAGGCTCCGCCAGCCGCTGCTTCACGTGGCCAGGGATTCCAGGTGCCCCCTCGGGTGGCCACACATGCGCAGTGAGCCCGGCTCCTCCTGCTGCCGGGGGAAGAACCCAAATCGCACCCCCCCGGGGAGAGAAGCGGAGAGCCTTGGACAGGAGGGCAGCAAGGTCTTCCCCAGGTGAGGACAGACGTGCTCCGACCAGAGGACGCGTCAGCGCCCGGACCGAGGCCCGTGCAGAGCGGGGCTGGATCGGAAGGGTGGTGCTCACCTTCGCCCGGAGGAGGGTGCACTGCAGGGCGCTGTTCTCCTGGTCGTACAAGAGGCTGAACTCCAGGGCCCCGAGGGTGGCTGGTGAGAGAGGGGGAGCAACGGACTGAGGGAAAGCCTCTGGCCCTCTGCTTGCCGCAGTCGGGGGCTTACAAGGCCAGCGTGTATTGAGTTAGCTAGCTAGTTACTAAATTTGTAGAAACAGAGAAGCAGAGCGGGTCAGAAGGGGCTCTGTCTTCCGAGAGAGCACGGCTCACTCCATCACCCCCATGGCTTATTAGCAGCCATGGAAAGCGCTTAGGGAAGCCCCGTGAAGACCTCGTGGGTCTCCGTGGAGGGCAGCCACGGTCACGCCCCACACCCAGGCCCGGGCCGCTCAGAACACCCTTCAGAACACCAGCCAGGTCGCCCCCCGTACAAGCGCTGGCCAAAGGGCGGGGTGGGAGAGAAGCGAGGCCTGGCACGACCTCACGAAAGCAAGGCCCTTCCGTGCCAGGCACCGAGCGGGTGCCGGACCGGGAGCAAGCTTCCGAGTCCAGGCGGCGAGCTTCCCCTCCTTAAGGAACGGCGCCTGCTGTGGGGGCACCTGCTGAAGCCTTGGAGGCGGGAGGGGTGGAAACGGCGAGGGGGCCCGTATGCAGCGTGCATGGAGGGGATGCGCCATCGTCCTTCTCTAGCCGCCACCGTGGCCAAGAGATGAGAGCAGCTGAACTGGATCAGGCCCAGCATCTGCCTAGTCCTGTGCTCCATTTCCACAGTGGCTGAACAGGAATCCCACACGCGGGAGATGAGGGCAACAGCCCCCAAGCCCAAGCTCCCCAGCACCCAGAGTGCAGGCATGCTGTCGTGGATCCCGCCACGGATGGCCACCCCTCCTCCCTGGATTGGCCCACCAGCCTCCCATCTGGAGGGGGACTCGACACGCTCGTGGAGAAGAAGGCGGCCGCGGCTACTGGCCCAGAGGGCTGCAGGCTCCCTCCAGACCCAGGGGGCTAGGCCGGCGAGCAAGGCAGGAGGCGCCGTCATGTTCCTCCCGGCTTGCAGGTTCTCACGGTCGGCCACCACACGGGATTCACCGGCCCGCTGGCTGGTCTGGCCAAACTCCTCCGGTTCCCACCCGGAAGGTCCCGGTTCTACCCACTCGTTTCGTCCGAGTCGTAGCTGTTGGCCTCGTCCTCGTCGTCTTCCTCTCGAGGAGGCTGCCGTGCGGGTGCGGCTGGCGGAGCAGCAGCTTGGCCATAGGGGGCCACCGGTCGCACGGGCCTCTCGTCTGCGGGCGAGGAGAACCCGGCGCCCGTCCTTTCCTCCTGGGACGGGCCCAGCGTGGGGTAGCCGGTGTCGGCTGGGGGCGCAGCCATCGAGAGGCTTCCTGTGGGAGCAGGGAAGCAACTGGTCACGGGCAGCCGGCCGAGTCCAAGCGGAGCCCAGGTGGGGCGCAGCGCCTCTCTCTCCCCGAGCAGGAAGGGTGCCGCCTCTGGGGCACGAGAGGAGCCCCTGCGTCACTGGGCCGGCCAGCCCTCCCCTCCCGGCACGCCTTCCCAGGGCAGGTCGGTAGCCACGGAGCCGCTGTCTCTCCGGGCAGCTTCCCTGCAAGCCAGTCCCCAAGGGCTCGGCCAAGGGCGCCACGACGGTCAGGCAGCCGGGGGGGGCCCGGAGCTCCCCACCAGCACTGCAGATGCACTTTGACGGACCCCGAGTGGCAGAGCCTCCAAAGGAATAACGGGAGCTGCCTGAAAAAATTTCCTCTGAGTCCGTCTGGGATGCAGAAGAAAGATTTCCAGAGCAGAGAGTGATGAAAAGCCAGCCCTGCCACCCCCATGTTACAAATGGAGATGAGAACTTTACCTTGTCTTTCCGGGAAACGGCCGGCAGGACCCATCACTTGCCTGGCCCCTCCAGCAGGTCCTAAAGTGGGGGAGAGGCACACGAGGTCGCTTGAACGAGGAAGTCCTATTTCTCATTCTCTCCCTCTCTGCCATCTTCAACACCCCATCTATTTAGTTATTTTATTAATTTAAAACTTTCCTAGACTGTCCCTTACCATGCTCTCGGGACGCTTTAACAATAAGACAAAGTAAAATGAAACACAGCATCCTAATAAAATTTCCAAACAGCAATAAAACCTCTATTAAAACAATCAAGCCTTAAAACATTGGGAAAATATAAAGTTCTTAGCCTGGCACCAGAGAGAATAAAGTGACGGCACCAGGTGAACCTCTCCGGCACAGAGGTTCCGTTTCTTCCCGAGTGTCTGCAGATTCGAAGGGAAGCACTTTGGCTGGTCCAGGCCCTGTGGTTTGAACCCCAGCATACCTGGCTCGGCCGGCGGCGCCGGTGGGCTCTGCTCGGGTGCCGGAGGAGACGGCCTGGCCCCAGCGCCATGGGCAGGACTGGCCCGCTTAAGGCCTGCAGGGGGAGATGCCAAAGCGGATTAGGGTGGGGGAAGGGACCCAGCCCAAAGGGGCCTCTCGGCTCTGCGCCGGGAAGCAGGGGCGCAAGGCGCTGGATCGAAAGCATGGCCTCGCTTCTCTTCCCTTCCGCTGCTCCCTCGAGTTACCTCCACTGACTGCTCTCCGATTCCCTTGCCAGTCCACGCAGGGGGATCCAGAAAAGCCCCTTTGGGTGGGCTGCCCTCCCGCCGAGGCTTGGGGCCCCGTGGCCAAGGAAGCCCGAGAGCAGCGCCAATGCCCTTCCCTCTGCAGCAGTGGAAGCGCGGTGCACGGGGTGTGCGCCCCACACCCTCAAGGCCACAGTCCTACGCGGGTTTGGCCTGAAAAGGCCCCTCTCCCCACGTGCCCCTCCAGCCGCGACATTTTTCTGCCCTAAGTAACTGTTGAAATTTCAGCCTCTCCAGAGACCCCAGTATCCGAGCATATTAAACAGCTTATAAACGCCCAGGGCAGTTGCTGCGTGGCCGGGATCCCGCTGGGTTGACCCAAGAGGAAGAAGAACTTCCGGTCCGGCAGCATCAGAGGAAGGGAGTCGGTGGCCCCGGAGAGGAGCAATCCTCGCGCTGGACCGAGCCGGCTTCAGCACCACGGACAGCCCCACAGAAGCCGCCGGCCTTCGCTCCGCGGACAGCTGCGTGCCCAGGGCAGCCCGGCCGATGTGGGGGCTCCGGTTCCCACGAGCCACTTTCAGGAGACGAAGGGGGCACCGCACCTCTGTGCCACTCAGCCGAGCGGAGAGCCAGCGCTCCATACGGCAGAGGTCAGAGGAGGACGCAATCGAGATATTTCTCCCGCAATGTGCTGTTTAAACATGCCCTGCGCAGGCAAGGAGTCTTTGGGATTCCTGCCACGTCGCCCTTTGTTTGCCAACCAGACGGCTCCGAATTAGCTCTCCCAGCAAAGGCCTCCGTTCGCTGCGGCTCGCACCCCGGGAGGCCGGGCCCGGCAGGAACGGTGGCCTCCGGTTTTGTCACGTCAACTTGGCTGGCACCTGCCCGTTCCCGCTCGAGAGGCCTTTGCGAGAAGGCAGGTGCCGCTGAGCCGTCTGTCGGGCAGACAGCCTTCTCTCCGCTGGGCCGGCATTGCTGGAGAGGCAGGCACATGGGCCTTGCAGCACACAGCTGCCACGGAGCGGCTGCCACTCCTTCATTCGGCTTTCCTTCTGGCTTTCTCTCACTCGTGCATTTCTTTAACGCTTTTATAGACGGTCCCACTGCTCGCATCTCAGGGCGGGTGACAACAAGCACAGGGAAAAATCGCACAGCACCCGACAATTCACACTGAAATCTCAATTAAAACCAATTCGACATGAAAATAACGGGAAGATGAAAAGGGACCTTTGCACGGCAGAGGTCCTCCGCTCTGTAGGACCGGGAGAAGGAGGTGCACATTTCAAAGACGTGCACAGCAGATGCATAAATCTGGAAAAATATGCATGAAGTGTGCACTTATTTGCATGTGACAAGAAATAAACAAATGGACTCAAGTTGGAGCAAGCTTTGTGACGGAGTTCAGGAAACGTTGGCGACATTGAGTTCTGCTGGTTCACATACCCAGTTTAAAAGAGTCAAGGAATGGGTGACAACAGAGGCCTTCAAAGAGCTGCTAGCACCGCAAAGAGGCAGTCCTGACTCAGTGGGGAAAGGAAGCAACGTTCCAGGTTCCTTCCGTGCCTCCCAACTGGAGACGCAAAGGCCACCGCAGTGCTCGTTTTCCATAGCAAAATCAACCCCACCAGCTCCGTCACCATGATCTGGGGCCTGCTGCTTCAAAGGCCCCAGTTTGGGGGTTACCAAGCTGCACAGAAGCAAGAGAGCCAGTGTGGTGCAGTGGTGAAGAGCACGGGACTGGGACTCAGGCGATCCGAGTTCGAGTCCCCGCTCGGCCATGCAGCCCACTGGGTGACTCTGGGCCAGTCAGACACTCAGCCCAACCTACCTCACAGGGTTGTTGTGGTGGGGATCAGATGGAGGAGGAGAATGATGTAAGCTGCCTTGAGCCCTTTGTAGGAAAAGGCAGGATATAAATCGGGGCGGGGGGGGGGGGGGGGAAAGATGGGCAGAGCATCCTCCTCACCTCCAGGGCTTTGATGGGCTCCGCTCTCGGCGACGGCATCCCGGCTCTCGGCACCCTCGCTAGCACGTTCGCTGCCGCTCGGCGGCATCCTGGCCTCGGGAGGCTTGCGGTGAGGCTGCGGGTGCGTGCCTGGACGGGAGGCGACCGCAGCCGCGGTTCGTGCAGCTGGCTCGGCGCCTGGGAAGCAAAACCAACAGCGGCAAAAGTCACCTCCCTGTTGTGACAGCAAATGTAAACAAAGCCGACGTCACGCCGGCACACAAAGCTTAATTTTTCCGAAGGCCTTCGGGATCCTTTGAGGAGAGCGCACAGGTCGTTCCTAAGCGCCGGAGCCGCGCAGAGGAACATCTTGGCAGTGGGCCGTCCTGCCTTCCCCCAGAACATCTCCCAGTGTGGCTCAGGGGGCAGAAAATGTGGCCATGTTGCAGACACCCCCCCCCCCCCCAGCATCCATGTGTCCAGATTAATCGTCATCTGGCTTGCGACTAATCAGAACCGGTTGCGCCACTGCGCCATCTTGCTGTTTCTCCGTCGCCTTCCACGCGATTGTAGCTAGAACTGTTCCCTGTGGTGCATTTCAGGCTGTGACTCCTCGTGAGCTTCAAGCTGTGACGGTGCATTTGAAGCTGTGATGTTGATACTGTTGCATGTAAACGAATATTGGGTTTAATATTTGGAGTGGTAGGTGAGCATTTGTAAGACTAGCGTCCAGACCAAGCGAATAGCTAAGGGGTTGATTGTTGGGGGTGGAATCGCTGGCCGTCGGAAAGCTCGCTGGCTACGCTGCTGTGATGTCACAGGCAGGGACACCAGGGAAAGTTCACAGACGTTCCCATTAAGGATGGGGAAAGCCTTCTGTGCGGAAGGCCAAGGATGAGCACGGCAACCGTGGGCTTGGCTGGGAAACTGGGCATTGGACATGGTGGGCAGAAATGCATTTCAGGCCTAGGAGCTGAGAGGGTTGGTGGTCGCAGTCGGTGGGCAAAGGATCCAGGAGGAGAAGGGGGGAAACTGGGCTTGGCACCTTTGCTATATTGATTTATTAATTAACGTGATTCGTGAATTGCTTGCCTGAAAGAACTGTCTAAATGGAACATGCAAATGTCGTACGGGATCATAAAGCAATACTGCTTATAATTATTGTGTGCAGCAAGCCTGGGCCACCTTCCGGGGAATGTTTGCGGTGGGGAGGGGGAAGAAAATCTTTGGCAAGCCCAGGCCGAAAACAGATTCCCAGGCTCTTGCCTGAGAAACCCTAAATTCATATTAATCTGTGTCATCCCTTTGTTCTATTTAAGCATGCCTGGAACTGGCTTTCAGAGAAAGTGTTACCAGCTCAGCAACCCCTTGGTCAGCACAGCCACTCGGGGAACATCGAGAGAAAGAGGGAGGGGGGCAGCGTTTGCGAGAGATTCCACTTCTGGGTCACCTGGGAGCAATTCTGTTCACCGCAGGGGAGCAGGGGAGCGGCTGCTGCCTGGACGGGTGGGTGGGCTTCTTGCTGCAGGGGCTGGAGGCACAGCGCTTCCTTCCCCTGACAGCTCAAAGCCCGGGTGCCAAGGAGGCTTCACAGAGTCTGCCTGGCTCATCTGCTGCTCTAACGAGCAAGTTAATGACTGTTCTGACAGCATCCATCACCAAGCCACCGCCTGGGGTCCCTGTGGGCACGCAGCAATTCTGCGAGATTTACAGAGTGATCCAGATTTTAATAATGGGGCAATCACTCAATATTAGCAGCTCCTGATGAGCAGCTGACAGCCGTGCGGAATGATGGCAGACGATCCGGTTTGGAGCCAGCCACCCCGCCCCCCAGCCCCGATAGCAACAAAATGACGCAGGCAGCTCAGCCCGAGGGACAGCCGGGGCTGGGTAGCCCCTCTGGATCGCAGTCTGAACCGTTAAAGGGTCGTCTGTGGGGCTGAACAGCCAGGCAGGGATTCAGCACCACAGTCAGCTCGCTCCCCCTGCTTCTGAGCTACAGCATTTCCATAAAAACCAACCCAATGTTCTGGTCTTCATGATCCTACATGTGGGTCTGGCTTAAAAGGAACGTGGAACAGTGGCTGGGGCAGCTTCCTCCTCCTAGCCCAGTGTTGCTGGCACGGACTGGCAGCCGCAACTCCCCGGTGTTCGAGGAATGAGCTTTTCCCGCCCTGCCAGGGGATGCCGGGACCTGCCGGCAAAGCTGGTGCCCCCCCCACTGAGGAAACCGGGGGTCTCGTCCCTGGTGGGCGCGTTGAGACAGCCAGTGCGGCCCTTTCATCACGGAAGCAACTCTTGGACCTTCGCTGCTAAAAAAAGCCACGCTCTTGATGTTTCGGCAGCCGAATAAGCATTCCAGTGCCAGCTCATCTACATCTCTCTGAAGTTTTGCTTGGCAGGAAGAGCAGGATGGCGCGGGGAGACCGGGCATGTAAAGCAGAGCTCTCTTTGGTGCCGTTCCAGAAAAGCTACCGCATTCTCCCTGCAAAACTTTCCCGAACGAGGCTCCGTTCCGGCAGGGGCGGGGGCGTCCGTGGGAATGGATGCAACAGACATCGAGCTCCTCCGTTTGGGTGGAATTCTGCGCACTGGAGCGGCCCTCCGTCCGCAGCGCTCAGGGCTGCGCTGCCACATAATGGCACCTCCATTCCTGTTGTTGTTATCACTCATCATTATCCTACGATTGATCATGATTGATAACAGGAATTCATAATATATTGCCACTCACATATTTACTACCTCATCGTTTTCCCAAAACAATACAACCACCAAGAAGGAGAAAACGAAGACGAAAACCATGACTTGATCAAAACACAAGAGGGAAACAGAACGCCGGAAAACTCCAAGAAAAAGGCGAGCAATACGGGCCAGGCTGAGCCGGGAGGGATTTGGGGGCCTGCATTCAAAGCCCCGGCCCAGGGGTCCCCTGAATGGCAGCGTCGCCGCCTGGGTGCAGGAAGAGGGGACGAGCGTGCTGGGGACGTGGGTGGCCCTTGACGCCAGCCCTGCGTCCCCCACTCGCCCCGGAGAGCCACGTGGCTCCCCAGCACTCCCTTTCCCAGGGCGGCCTGCACCCTACCTCCTCCACTGACGGACCCCTTTGTCAAGCCCGATTTGACCCACGCGGGCTTCCCAGGGGCATTTTGCTGCCCACTGTGGCAAGCGGCGGCAAAAGGGGCCCCCAACCCAGCCTGGCCCGCACTGGGTGCAGGAGCCCCTGGGGAGTGACTTGCAGAGCTCCGGCCTCCCGGGCGCTTTGGCTACGCGGTGGTGAAAAGGGGCCGCCGATCCGTGGCTGGCCCAGGGTCACCCAGCGAGCGTCGGCGTGGCCGCGTGGCGACTAGGGCCCGGCCCCGCACGCAAGGCTGCACCGCTTCTCCGTCCAGCCGAGGGGCCGGCGCTCCCCCAGCTCGGCAGCCAGACCCCCCCTCTTGCAGAGCTGCGCCCCCGGGGCAGGGCGATGCCAAAGGCAACATGGGGTGAAGATACCGCCCCCCCCCCCGTGGTGGCTCCTGCATCTTGCTACCGGGGGGTCGGCCGGGGCTGGGGTGGGGGCCTGGGGATTTGCCCCCAGGCCTGAGCGCCCCGGAGGGTCCGTGCGTTCAGCTTGCCTACCGTGGCTCTGCGGGCGAGGGTACGGCTTCGCCTCTTGGGCGGACGGGGCCGGCTCGCCCGGCGGGGGCTGCGGCTTCGCCTTGCTGATGGGCATCGGCTGCGGCAGCATCTGCCTGGGCAGGCCCTTGAAGAACCAGGCGCCGGAGCGCTTCCACACCTGCAGAGGCCGGAGGAGAGACCGTGAGGGGGCGCACTGGCGCGGGTGCAGGAAAGCGCCCGGTGCCCTTTTATTTTATTTTATTTTATTTTATTTATTTAGAAGGCTTCTATGCCACCCCATTCGCCGAAGCCTTGGGGCGGCTTACAACAATAAATAAATAAGGACAGTATAAAACGATATAATATGAGTCGACCTGGCAGAATAACCGTCCCAGTGGAAGGCTCTGCCTCGAAGGGCAGCAGGCACCCTCACTGGGGGCAGTGAAGCGGGCAGATGCGGGAGGAGCAGGAGCAAAACCTGTTGTGGTTTGGCACTGCATTTCAGCCGCAAACCACAACTGTTGTCGAGGGGACTCACGCAACAACACAATAGCCGAGCGGCTGAGGGGCAGCCTTGGATTACTCCTCTCCTGCGTGGGCGAGGGTGGGAACGGTCACCCGCGGCAGGCACGGCTGCTCCTCCTTTCCAAAGGCAAGCTTTTCTCAGTCCGGGGTAGCTCCACCGTCCCCCCGGATGCATCTTTAGGTTTTGCATCAAACCCAGTCCTGGGTCCAAAGGCAGACCGGGCCTTTCCAAAGGTCAGGGCCCTTCTCAGCCCAGCTGGAGGGTCATCCGGAGGCAGGGACCACTCTCCTGTGACGAGGCCCAGCCCTGGGCAGGCTGAGAGAGAACGGGGCCCACGAGGCCAGTCGCCCCTCTGTTCCTCCTGCACGGAGCCCCAGGCGCTCCTGCAGATCCCCTCCAGCCGTACCCTCACAGCGACCCTGCGATGTGCCACGGATTGTCCCCGTGGCTCCCGGCCCTCCGGCCCTCGCGCCAGGCCCTGGACCGGGGATGCGGGCAGCCCCCGTGTGAGGGCCGGCTCCCGCCAGGGAAGCTCCCCGGAGGCTGCTGCGCTCCAGGCTGCCCGGGGCCCGCCGCACCCCCAAGCCCCGCGGTGCCAACCGGCTGCAGGGGAGGCGCCTCGCTGCCCCCCGTCTCGTGCCGGGGCGGACTCACCTCCCTCTGCTCGAGGCAGATCTTGCACAGCCAGACGGGGTGCGGGCGGCTGTTGGTGGCCTGGGTGCCGCACTTGGTACAGACGCTCTGCGGGGGAGAGAAGGGCCGCGGGAGCACGGGGCGAGCGAGGGCAGCGGGGGCTCGGCCCGCCCGGCACGCAAGCCCTGCCCAGGCCCACTTCCGGCCTCCCCGCGGAGCCCGGGGCAGCAGCGCCCCTTCCCTCCCGGCCCGGCGGGACGGTGGGGAGCCAGCCACGGCCGGGGAGCCCCCTCCCCCCGCCCCCCGAGGGCCGTGCGCCGCCGCGGCGAGCGAGCGCCTGGGGCTCACCTTCTTGCAGTCCTCGCAGACCATGCCCTTGGCGCCCGCACAGCCCAGCTGCTCCCCGCACAGGATGCAGCGGCCCACCCCGTCGCCGGCCACGTTGCGGCGCATGTCCTCCAGGCGGGTCATGAGGCGCCTGTGGGGGGCACAACGGGTCACACCAGGCGCCCGGGGGCAGGTGGGCCGGACTCGGTGCCCGGAAGCCGCTCCTGGGAGGAGTGCAGAATGCTGCGGGTGCGTGCGGGTGCGTGCGTGCGGGCAGGCGGGCGGGCGCATCGTCTGCTTCCAAGCTTGGACGGCAGCTGCTTGTGTGACACACAATGCCGGATTGTGCACCTCTGCACACTGTCCGGAGCGCTTTGGCTACGGGGTGGCATAAGGCGACAGCACATGCAGCCCAAGGGAAAACACGGTGGCTGTCCCTTCCACTGTGGCACAGAGGGGAGGTCGGATGCTCCTGGCACCTGCCTCGCCTGGCCCAGGTGGGACGCGCGGAGCCACTGGGGGCAGGCGTACGGTTACGGAAGCAATGGCTTGCGCTTCACAGCCCAGCTCCTGGAGCCTGATACAGCTCCTTTTCTGCGCAGGAGTGTCTTTATAAAATGCAAAACACGGGACCAGGTCCCAGAACACAGCGATGCTCTCCGACCCTGGAAGAGGAGCTTAAATACAATTATGTGCAGACTACTGTTGCACAGGTCACGAGGAAGAGCGCGCTTTGGAGCATGTGCAAAATGCCCCTCTCACACCACTGTGATGGTGCAGGGTTGCGAGGCTCGCCCAGCCCAGATGCAGCACTGCCAGGGCCCCCCGGCTCTCCCAACTGCACGGGTGACATCACCCATCAGCCTGCATCTGCCGGAGAGGGGGCAGGAGTGTCTCCGGCCTGCCCTGAACGCCCCCACCGGGCTGCCTCTACGAAGCAGAAGAAAAACGCTCCGAGGCTGTTCGGCTGGTGGGAAGGCACTTCGCAAAACCCCCAAAGAGACAGAAATAGTGCCTGCAAGGAGGACGCATTATCTATTCTCTTCCGAGGGCGGCGCACCCCCAGCCTGCGCATGAGTCCCACCGGAAGCGGCTCACCCTCCCGTCGCGGCGTGACCCAAATCTGACAAACCCATTAAAGCGGCTCCCGGTGTGCGAGGAGGCGTCATGCGCTCGCCTGCCTCGGTGCCAGGTCTGCAGCAGGAGCGGCGGCCGTGCCCACGGCCCAGGCGTGTGGGGGTGCGGAGCACATGGGGCAGCTCGTGTCACACACAGGGTCAGCCCGGCAGGAGGTGCACGGGGGAGGGGTCTGTGGCTGCGTGCGGCCACCAAAGCCCCTGCGCCACGACAGCCGCGAGGAAGAGGACGTGCCGGGGTCCCGGTCCTGGCCCAGTCCTGGCCCGGCCTGCTCTGGGTCTGCCCCAAGGCAGGAGCTTCCCGGGACACCAGCGCCACCCGCGGCCGTGCCAGCAGCACAGCAGAGCCGGGCAGCCCTCCTTCCCTGGCGTGGCCAAGAAGGGACCAACCGGGGCCGCCCCCCCCCCCCACTGCAATGTGCAGTGAAGGAGAAAGCGGCACTTTTGCAAAAGCCAAAACGGTGGGGCAGGGAAACACGGCCGAGGGACCGGCAGCGGGTTCAGGAGCCTGCGGTTTGGAGAACCCCATTCCCTGCCACGTGCCGACTGCACAGGCAGACAATTTCTCCGGGAACCTCGTTGCCGTCCTCATTTGCTGGCAGGAAAATGCTCTGCTGAAGGAAAGGAGGTTTCTGCATCCTGCTGTCAGTTTTCAGCTCCCCACAAACAAGCCCCCCGGACAGATGGCTCCCCCTCCCCACTTTAATTGCATCCAGCCTTGGCGTCTGCCTCTCCTCCTTCCACATGAGAAATCTCGACAGATTCCTGCAGCGAGTCAACACTCGGAGAGGGGAGGGGACGCAGCCCCAGCTCCCGTTTCATCGGCATTTGGGCCACGAGAACAGACTGGAGCTTAAATGCGGCGATTCAGCCGCACAGCCTGCACCATTTGAGCCACAGCGGGAAAGCTGGCAATTTGCCAGCCCGGTTTGCTTTCGATCGAACCTCCCTGAGTTGCTCCATCCATCTGGGAAAGACGGGACCACGCGGCTGACCCGCTTTCACAAACAGGCTGCCTTCTGGGTCGAGTCGTTCGCTGACGAGAAGTTTGGCTCGGCGAACAACTCAGGTGCCGGCGGCAGCCAAGCCGGACGGGATGCGGGAGGCGGGAGCGGCACTGCAGCAGCTCCTTCTGCCCCCTGCCCGCTCGGTCTCTGCGCGCTCTGGGGAAGCTCCGTGTCAGCGATGGCCTGCAAGCACGGTGTGGGGCCAGCACCGAGGGCCGGCTACTGGAGGCAGCAGTCTCGCTTTAAACACAGAGTCAAGTTTCTAGCCTGCATCGGGTTTATAAAGCTGCTGCAAAATGCCAGCTTTATGGTGTCAGGCCAGTAGTATGCATCGTATTAAATATGCATTTTAGGAAAGAGCAGGGCTGCGACTGCAGAAGACCGAACTTGATTTGCTCTGTCCGTGAAGAGCGGGGCGTGTGGAAAAGGCCAGGCAAGAGAATTCAGCACAGCCCTTTGCAACCTGGCACCCTCCAGATGCACTGGACTGCAATCCCCGTCCCTCAGCCAGCATGTGGCTGGTAGGAATGGTAGTCCAACGCATTTCGAGGGGGCTGGCTTGGTGGAGGCTGGCTTGGGAGCAGTCCCAATGCCTTTTTAGAAACGCTCCTCAGGGCCTAGGACACCTCACAGCCAGGAGCAGGTGGGAGGTGGAGGCTGAGCGCAGGTGGCGGAAAGGAATGCCAGTGAGCTGCATTTCAAACTGCATGCGGTTTCAAAGACAGGGCTGCCAATTCTGTTCTGGACGGCTGGAAATGCTAAAACCCCACGAGGGCCGTTATTAATGTTTGCAACACACTCACAACATAGCTTCATGCTTGTTTTCTGTTCAATTGCAAGCGGGGGAACACAACTGTCCTAACACAGAAAGGCAGGAAGCGGCTCGCCCACAAGGTGCCATTTCCCCCGTGCTGCTTTTGCTGGAGGGAAATGGTGCAGTGCGGGGGGTCAAGCCAGCCACTTGCGCCCGTCTGACCAGGCTGGTGAGCGCGGAGGACGAGCAGGGACCACAGAAGGGGCCTTTGCAGAATGGCGCACACAGACTGCCCTTCGGACACAACCCTGCGGCGCTCCTCAAGCCTCCGCCCCACACGTGCCCCGGTCTGGGGCTCCTGGCCACAAGCAGGAGAACGGAGCCGCCCTCTCCGTTTCGGGGAGATCGCTCAGGTGCCCTCCCCAGTCCAGGGTGGAGGTGGGCAGGCTGCACAGCCTTGCGGTCGCTCAGATTTTCTGCCCCTTGGCTGGGGGTGGGGCATGTTGTCCCTGCCCTGGGCCCGAATCGGAGGGCACAATGGGCCCGAGGGAGCCCAGAAGGCCCCACGGTCTTGGTGCAGAGGGTCCGACCAGGGAACACAGGCGGCTCCCTCTGGCGGGACAGCGCATCACCAGAGGAGGGCGCTCCTGCTCGCCACCGCTGGAGGGGTGGCCGGGGGTGGTACTGCAGCTGGCCCTCCCGAGGCGGGCTGGACCCACGGAGCTCCTCCTGCAGCTGGGAGCTGCCCAGCCAGCCCAGCTCCCCAGGGGGCAGGCCTGCCCTCTCCTTGACCTCCTGGGCCCAGATCCTACCTGGCTTCCTGACCGTTGGCTCTTTGGACAGCACCACCGGAGAGCCGCACAGGCCGCCCTGGCCCTCACGAAGAATCCCGCTCACCCCCGGCACGACTTCCACCCGCTTCCCCGCTGCCCAGGATCCAGTGCAGGGGGTGGCTTGCCCCATTTCCGAGAGAGAGTCCCCTCCACAGAGAGGCAGTGCCACGGCCCAGCTGCCCCGGTGCCTCACTGGACTGGGATGCGAGCCCCACTCAGCTGCTGCTGAAGCAGAGGCCTCGGGGGGACGCCCACCCTGCCCGGCCAACTGGGCCCCGTACCCAATGCGCTCCTGCTCCATCTCCTCCATTTTCTCAGCCCTCGCGATGACGCGGTTGATGATCTCCTTCTCCTCGTCCGTCAGCTCTTCATTTTTCCACGCCCGCTCCGGCTGGTTCCCGTGGGCCGGCCAGCCACCCCCGGGGGCTCTGGAAGAAGCACAAAGCGAGTTTGGCAGCTGCCGAGCCTAAACTGTATGGAGGGCACCAGGCCTGGGAAGACAAGCCCCGTCACTCAGGCTGGCCTCTCCCCATTCAAAAGTTGGGAGCGGAGGGGGGAGAAAACCTCCCAAAATGGTAAAGTGCAAAATTATTGTTATTGCTGCCAGTACAACTCCTTTTAATAATCCGTTTGCCCTGCTGGAATAATGAGCAAGAGCTTTCTGGGCAGTTTGTCGTGGGAATCTGTCTGCTTGTTTTCCTTAGCCTGGCAGCCTATATTTTGCTAAATATATCCAGAATTCAGTGTGCAACCCACCCTCCCTTATCTCTAGGAAATACAGCGAATAAAGCGAGGGAAGGGAAGTGGGGAAACGGGGCAGCGGGACCACAAAGTTCTGGGCTGACGAAAGATGCTTCACGTCTGTGACACATACAAGTAGGTCTTTAGAAAAGAATCGCACCCACCGTGCGATACAAGCGGTACAGTCCCGTGCACAGACCTGGACTGCCACGGTCTTGAAGCTCAGGTTTAGCGAAGCTTTTCTTAAGCGGGACTCCGTGTTGCCGCTGACGCACAGGCTGTGGCATTAAGGCGCAGGAAGAGATACGAACGGGAGCCGAGGGACCTCACTGTGAAGGTTTGCTGAGTGCCAGGCCCATGGCCCAAGGGTCATGCGCAGGACACAACCAGGGGTGAGTCCACAGTCCGGATGCGGGCGGAGGAGCACGCAGATGCACCCCAGCTCCGGGGCAACGGGCTGAGAGCCGCCCCCGTCTTGCGGGAGAGCTGGAAAGTACCCCCGTGGGGTTTGTGTTCATGGAGAAGGGCTGGAAGACTGACACTGCTACAGATCCGCTGCTGCATCCTCTGATTTATCACCTTTCTCTCCGTCTGTTTTCCCGGGAGCAAGCTGAAGCAGCATGCATAACTCCCCACCTCCTCCCCGCTCGCTCTTATCCTCCTCGCAGGCCGGTGAGGTGGTGGGGCCGAGACCAAAGCCAGCCAGTGGGTGCCGAGCCCAGCCTCAGGGGGGTCTTGAGCCGCCTCCCCCGAGCCCGCCCGGCCTCCTGGCCGCCACGCTAGGCAATCCGGGAGGGCTGCCACGGCCCCGTCCGGCCCCCGAGGAGCTGTCCGCACGCAGGCGCTGCTGAAGCCCTCACGGTCCGGGACGCGAGGACCCAGATGCGCCCGCGTCCCCGCGGCTCGTTGGAGAGAGGCGAGCGCCGCCTCGTTCCCATCACTAAGCTGCCGGGCCTTTTGTCCAGGGAGGGTTTCGACGCGGCAATTTTCTCTACAATCTGCTCTGACTGTGACCGTGAAATGAGCAAGCACAGCCTTCCGCCAGCGGAGGAGAGGCGCGCGCGCGCGAGCGAGCGGAGAGAAGCGCCTGCCGGGGGAGCGGCTGCCGGGGTGCCATTCCGGAGGCCCGGCAGGCCCCGCAGAGCGTCCCCAGGGCCGATCAGGCTAAGAGGGGCCACAGGACTGGAACCCGTGCCAAGTCGCACCCGGGCGCCCCATTAGAAGCACAACTGCGCCGGACAGACCACTGTCTGGCTGCCTTCTAAGAAACGGCTCCGGGAGCTCAGGCTTAGCCTAACCCCAACCTGATGCCCTCCAGGTGTGCAGGACTACAAGTCCCATCACTCCCAGCAGGCCATCTGGAGGATGCCGGGCAGGAAGGCCTGGCGTAAGGAGCATGTAAGGACAGGTGTGAAGAGCAAAGGAGCAAAAAGGGATGGAGGCGGCGAGAGGCTGAATTTCACGTATCGATTTGAAATGGCAAGCCAAACCTTTGGCGGCAGATCAATGGGCTGATTAGATGCCACATATTATGACGCCTTTAATCACTCTCTTCCAGTCTATTGCGGTGGCTTCTGCTTACACGACTGAAACAACAGCCGCTCCGGTGTGATGTTTGCAGCGTCGCCGAATTCCACCTGGTCCGCCTCCCTCCTGCTGATCGATAAGGCAGCTTTGTTTGGGCCCCTTGCTGTATTAGCTCTCCTGCGCGGATAATCAATGCGCCGTGGCCTGAGGCCTGGCCACAGCTCCCGCTGGCAACGAGGCCGAGGACGGCAGCAGGGCTCACCCGCCAGAAACATCCTTCCCTCTGCAGCGCATCAAGGCCAGGCCACAGCGAGCCGACAGGGCCTGGTTGCATTTCAGAGTCAAGCGACGAACTCTCGGGTATTCTGGGCTATGGAGTCGTCTATGTAGCCACGGCATGAACCCTTGCTTTCTTAGCTCTGGTGTGAGGAACCCTCTGGGTCTGAAGCCCTGATGGGTAACCTATAGCTAGGGACACGGAAGAATGTGGCTTCAGTTTATTGCTTTTTAAGTCTTTGCCTCCATTGGCAAGCTGCTTTAGATGAGGAACAGAAAGAATCTGAGATTCCAAAAGTCGGACTGGAGGAGATGTGGCCATCCAGGCCCAGGACTGTGAATGGTTAACTCTCGAAGGCTTAGCCACGGATCCCCGTGCCACCAGCCAAGTCCGTGCACACAAAGGGCCATGGGAATTTTCATGCAAATGTCACGAAGCCTCTAACACGATCCGATCCGACAGAACTCCAGCGTGCGCCCAAGGCTACTATCATCGCTGCATGGCTTCTCAACGGCCTGGGGGTGCTTGGGATGTGGCTTGCGATGCAAAGCCTCCAGTGCGATGCCAGAGCTTTCTTCCTGCAGCTGGGAGAAGCTCCGCCAGGAGGGCTTTGTGGCACTCGGCACGAGGGAGATCAGGGCCGTGACACGACACCAGCCGCCCCGCAGATCACGCCCACCCGACGGAGCGGATTGTCTGCGGACAGAGGGGCTCGGAGAGCTGCAATTGCTAGGCATGATCCTATTCTGCCGAGAACAAGGAGAAATTTGCAGCTGGATCCAGGAACAAAGCTGGTGGCGGGGAGCTAAATAGGGTGGCATAAAAATAGCACCAGTCACTCTCCCCATTGCTCAAAGCATCGGATTGTGGGGGGCTTTCCAACGATCTCGCCTCCCGTCCTTTCCCCTGCCGAGCGGGGCCTCTTGGGAGGCATTGAGGCAGAGACCGTGTCTCAGCAGGAGTCGGAGGCCAGGAAGACAAGCTCTCCTGAGAGCGAAGGGGGTGCTTTGAAAAGCTCCCCGCTCTCAGCACCTGCCTTCATTATCGGGAAAACGTGTTGGGTACTTCACAAGGAAATCGCAAGAGCGGTGCCAGAGGGACAGTGGGCAAGGCAGAAGAGACGTTCTGCTGAGCCAAGTCTCCTCTTTTGGGGGGTTTTTGTAAGGAACAAAGACAGTGAAGACAAGACGGAGGAATAACACGCCCCATTGTTGGAGCCTGGGCTGAAGAGCCATCCGCCCTTGAAGACGCAGGTAGCAATAGGCTCGACTGAAGTTCTCCGGGGTACCAGAAGGAGTCAACGAACTTCAGAGGAAGAAATCCAAGAGGGAGGAACCGCAAGCGCTCATAAAATGGTGACTAAAGGTGGGAAAGGAGAGAGAGAGAACCAGAGAAGGGAGGAGAGAGGAATGGAGTTTGTGGTAGGGGAGGCGGCTGGCGAGAATCAGCGCCAAAGCGAGTGTCACGTTCTGTCGTAGGCCCTCTTGTCAATATCGGAACCCACGAAGGATTTCGGGGCGAGGATCAAACCTCCAGATCGGCTGAGCTCGAGGCTTTCGGTGCAAACCGCCTGGAAAAGCCAGCCCGGGGCTTCCTGCCTGCCCCACGGAGGGCACAAACCACCGAGGTCTGTGCGCTGCAGCCTGCTTAGACCAACGAGGGCCGAGGTCGGTCCCGCTTCCAGCAGGGCCGTGGCCCATCCCAGGAGGAGGCCGGAGCAGTTCCCTGGAATGAGGAAGCACGCAGCCTTCCTCGTGGAGTACAAATCGAATACAAATCCGGGTTAGGGCGGGGATGAGGGGACTAATTAGAGTCATGTTTGCCTCGGGCGTTCGGCTCGTTCGGGGTAAGCCTGGATTTGCCAGATTTGCCGCTTGCCATTACCAGCACCCACGGCCCTTCATCGGCTGGTCATCGGCTAGCTGCTCTGAGCAACGAGACAGCAGCCTCGCCACGGAGGGGTGGGGGGCAGGACTTGCAGCGAAGGGAAGGATGGACAGAGGCGAGGAGGAGGAGGAGGAGGAGAGACCCCTCTGCAAAGGCAGCTACGTTGAATTAATCGCACACGCCATCAGCGGCACCACACTGCAGAAGGCACTACAAGCCATGCTTTCTGTCCCATGGGAAATGCTTAACGTCTCCGTTCAAGAGGAAAACACAACAGGCCAAAAGAGAACTTACTGTTCTTTTCCACTTCGGAGCGGCGTGCAAAAGGAGAAGAGAAAGTCAGCGGGGGCTCTGGCTGCATCAGGCACAGGCCATCACAATAGATAGAAGCGGGTGGGGGGAGTCAAGCGGGCCCTGGACATCCACCTCCCCTCCCCCCCGGCCCCGCGGGTTGTTGGGGAAATTTAGAGGGGGCGGAAAAGGGGTCGGGGGGGGGGGGGGAAGGGGCCCCCTCGGCCAGTGAGGGGGAAGCAGAGCCCAGCCAGGAAAGGCATGGGCCACCTGGGAAACAAGAGGAGGGCCACTGTTCGGGGGGGGGGGCTTATGGAGTCTTTGGAGGGGCCGAGTAGGCAGGGCTCCAGCGCAGGATGCGACCGGGGGGAGGGGGGAGCTCAGGGCCAGGTTTCAGGACCACGGAGAGCAACCTGCCTGGGAGCCGCCCCTGGCGTGGGCTTCCTGCGCCCGATTGCTGGCCAGCCCAAGTCCCCCCCACCCGCGCCTGCCGCCCCCTTGGGCTAGCAAAGGCCAAGGGCCACCGAGGCCTCGGGGAGGGGGAGCAATGGGGCGCCGTTGGCGGACTCCGCAGCGGCGTGAGCGGGCGCAGCGACTCCCAGGGGCTACACAGGCAGGACGCAGGGCCAAAGGGCCCGGTTCAGGCGGACTGGGAAGGGGTCGGGCCTGCTCAGAACCGCTGCTGCTGAAGCCCCCGGCCCCCAAAGCTTCCCGTCTGGGCCACGACTGTGCATGGGCTCCTGGTGGGTCAGGCCACGGCAGGACCCCCCCCCTCAAACGCACACACAAGGATGCTTTAAGCACCTCTCCCCCTCTCCACCCCCTCCCCCAACAATCCTAATGAAGCTTGTGGATGGGGAGCGGCGTGCAGCCCTCCCCCCACAAGGCCAGGCGAGGGGTGCGTCTTCGCTGCAGAGAAACTGCGCATCTCCCTGCAGGGATACCGTGAGCAGGCAAGTGCAAAGCTTGCACGCGCACACACGCACGCACGCCCCCCCTCCCTCTCGCTGCAGCCCCACCTCGGGGCTGCGCACTTCTGCTGTGGGGAATAGCAGGAGGGGCTCCCGGGCTCCTGCAGCCGCACGGATCACATCCTGCGGGCCGCCTGTGTGGCGCAGGGGCTGGGGGGCTCCCACCGAGCCTCCCAGAAAAATGAAACATACACAAATAGATAAAACAGAGGTGGCCACCCAGGAGAGTGTGGGGCTCTGCTGAGCCGGCCCCTGGCCGCATGCTGGGCTGCCCAGTGGCGGAGGCGGGTGGCGTGGCATGGCAGGGTGGCCACAGAGATGCTCACTCCTCGCTCCAGAAGAGGGAATGCCTCTTCCAAGGGGTGCTCCCTTCTTTAAGGGGCCACCGTCCTTGCCACTGCTGTTTAGACGAACCGTTTTTCCCCGTACCAGGAAGACCGCCAGAGCAAGAGCCTCCCGCCACCCTCTCCTCCCTCCGTCCCGGCCACCTTTTCCTCCAAGGGGCACACGACCAGCCCCTTCCCCAGTTTATCTTTGAGCGGCTAGGGGAGGTGACCCCGGCAGGGCGCTGGGACTGACCCAAAGCCACCCAGGGGGACCCATGGACAAGCAAGCCCGGCTCTCCCTGGGCGCAACCCAGCACGGTCGCCCCACGGCCAGGACCTTCGGGCTTTGGGGCTGGGGAGCTGCAGCTCGGAGAGACCTTGGGGCCCAGAAGCACTGGAGGGGGTGAGCCCCGTGGGGCAGCGCTGCCCCCTCCTCGGCCGACCATCTTCTCTGGGACCCCTGTGGGGCTGCTGTCCGCCCGGCGTTTATCTACGGTCAACCAGCAACATCAATACACAATCAGAGGAGCATCGTCTCCTCTGCTCTGCACTCTCCAACAGCGATCTACAAACAATTTAATATCTAATGGACTCTCTCGCCAAGCCATTAGCAGCTCCCGGCATCCAGGCATTTGATAAGGAGCAAACACTTCTTGCGGGGAAATAGATGCATACATTATTTAAATTATTTGAATTTAATTCCGCTGCTAAATTGGATGGTTGACGGGAGATAGACGGCGGCTTAAGGGTTAGAACTAACAGGCAAAAGTCAATCGAGCCGGCCATGGCCGGTCGCGCAGGTGTGCGGGACAAGGACCGGCCGTGTCTGGATCGAGGGGGCCGAGCAGCGTCACCGCCAGGGGCCCAGCAGGGTTGGGGGGCAGAGTTCCCCCCGGGCCGCCCACGCACGCCTTCTCTGCACCCGTGCCGACGCCACTGGCCCTTGGCAGGCGCTTGCCCGGCGCACGAGAGCTTCCCCCGGCCAGTCGCTTCTGGGGCCTCGCAGCTCCCTGCCCAAGAGGATTCCAGGCATGGCCTCGCTTTCCCAGCCGGATCCACCGGCCTGCGGTTCCAGTCCCCCAGGGATGCCGGGCCTTGGGGGGCAGCACCCACCTCAGGCAGCCCCAGCTCACAGGACGGAGGGGAGCTGGGCACTCAGCTAGAACGGGACTTCCACTCCGAGGAGCAGTCTACCTTGGCATGCCAGCCCTGGGGAGGAGCCACGGAACAGGGCCGCCGCTCGCCTCCCTGCCCGCACTCTCCAGGCCTTCTGGGCTGGCTCCAAGGAGGGCCGTTTGGTCTGATCCAGCAGGGCTGCGCTTCCAAGGGGTTGCGGGTTCGGTGGCCGTGGAGGGGAGCGGGGTCCTGCCACGAGGAAGGGAAGCATCTGCCAATCCAGTGGGCTCATTTTTTCCTTTGCTGCCACATTTCTCTATGTATGTGCCCTTCTGTGTTTTCCCCTCAGCGGAGGCACTCTTGTACACACTTCTCTGTAATACACACAGCCCTGCGTACACCCCTCTGCGCCGTGCACAGCTTTGTACACCCGTTTCGTGTGCAAGCATGGATTGCAAACTTCAGAAAAGTGGAGATGCCAAGGCTGACCTGCATTCAAGTGCCTGCTTCAAAGTGCCGTGCAAATTCGGTGCACGCACATCCAAGCACGAGCTGGAGGGATGCCTCCCCTCCCCTCGGCTCAGCGAATTCTGAATTTCTCCCCTGCACACACCCTGCTTAAAGACTTCCAAGCGAAGAAGCAACTGCAGCCATGGTTCCTTTGTGTCGGGTGGGCCAAAAAGGCCTGCAATTCCAAGGAACCTGCTGGGCCTAACAGTCTCCACACGGCTGCACCAGAGCGGGCTTCGTTCTGCAACCCGTCCCAAGCCAAACTGCCCGCTTCCTCTTACTGCACCCTTAATCTGGGCTTGTTTTTCCATTATGGGGCAAGGACACACCAGCGGGCAGAGACGGCCCTCTTCCTGCCTCCCTCCAGCCCATGTGGCTGTCCTTCTCCCACCACATCTGGCTTCTGAGACTGCAGGCTTTCAAAGACATATTTGCAACCTTAAGGACTAGAAACGTGTTTTGTCTTAATGAAAGCAAGCCAAATCTGCAGCCATGCTCTTCAAGGTTTCTGCATGCTGTGGAATCGCACAGCATATAGGCAGAGCCACGGATACAACATAAACGTGGGCCTGGGCAGAGAAAAGGGGAAAGATCAAGGCCCCGGTCCCTTACCTGCCGCGAAGGGCCATCTGTCTGTCATTCTGGTACACCCACTGACCGCTGCTGCCGCCCACCACGGTGTCCGTCATGGCCAGATGGTGAGGCTACCTGAAAGACAACAAGGGGCAGATAAGGCCGGGCCGGCCACGGGACAAGCGGCAAGGAGACATCTGTCCCCGCTCGGGCAATTTTGGGACCAGCAGGGTGGCCCCAAGAGGCGGGTTGAGGGGAGGTCCTGGCGGGATCACAGGAAGGGCTTCTCCGCACAGCAAAAGCTCCGCACTGACTTCTCCTGCCGTGAGCTACGGCGAGGACGGCGAAAGAGAGCGTTTCGAATGGCCGTGCATCCGGCGGGCTGCCGGTTCCCTCCCACACCCACAGCAGTGCGCTGGGGAAGCGGAGCGGCTGGGTGCTGCCCTGGTCGTGGGCCCCTCGGGGCGTCCGGGTGGCCTGTGTGCAAACAGAACGATGGAGGACGCGGCCCCCCGGCCTGGCCCAGCGGGGGGCTGCCCGTTGCTCTCAACCCACAGGCTCCGAGTGCGGACCACACACTCTCCCGCGGGGCTGTGGCCCTCTGGGGGCCCGGAAGGGTCCTGCCAGCTGCGGGGACGGAGTCAGACGCTGCCTTCCTTCACATGTCACCCGAGCCCCGGCGGGGAGTGCGGGCAACGCCGGCCTGAGCAAGGCCCCGATCCAGGCCGCGGGCTCCACGCACGGCCTCAGCTCCGTCCCTTTCCCCTGCAGAAGGCCGGCCCACCCGGCACCCTCCCGCTGTGTGGGGCATAGCTGCCCTCTCCCCACGTGCACGGCCGGGGGGGGGGGGGCTGTCGCTAGACAACTGTCATCGGGCACTTCTGGGGCTCCGACCATGCAGAGGACTCCAAGCCCAGAGCGCCAGCTGGCTCGGCTACCGACAGGAGTGCTGAGCCAGCCGACGCAGGGGTCCGAGGCCGGGGAGGGCTGCGCAGACCGCCAGACGCTGGCCCAGGCGCCACAGGCCAGCCGGCCGCCCGCTCCGACGCGCCGGCACTCGCATCCCTGGGCACAGAGAGCCAGGCGGGGCAGCGAGGGCCGCCTTCCGCTCTGCCTCGGCTCCGTGCAAGACGCCCTCGGCCCTCCCCTGGGGCAGCTGAGCCCGGCTGGGAGGGCAGGGCAGGGCAGGGGGAGGGGGCCGCGAGCCGACTCGGCCTTCCAGGGAGGCCCTCCCAGAGCTCGAACCAGCCGAGGCTTCTTTGCTTCCCCAGATCTGCAATGCAGCGCTCTGAAATATTGAACGGGCCGGCTGATTCCACTCCAGCGGCTCATGCCAGCAGCGGGGACACGGGGTGGGCGTTCTCCCTCGCTCTCCCTCGTCTTCGTCCGCGTCTTACTTGGACGGAGCTGAAACGTGGTTAATCTCCACCGAGGAAGAGCAGGGTGCCTGCGGGGGGCCAAAGCGGAGGGGAAGCTGCAAGAGAAGGAGGGAACGAAGAGAAATGGAGGGCGGGGAGGTCTGTCGAGCGCGCTGCAGCAGGAATTTCTGGCCGCGGGGCGGGAGTCGGCTTTCCGCGGGGCTCCTTTGGGAGAGGAAAGAGGCTCGCGGAGTGGGCAAGCCAGCGAGCGGGAGGCTGGGCAGGCCCCAGGTGGCCAGACGAGCCTTGCACAGCGGCAGCAAAGCGAGGGCAGCCCTGCTTAGCGATGCTTGCAAGCCTTCTGCAGGGTCAGCATCCCCCGTTCTGAAAGCCCCCAGAAGCTCCCGGATAGGTGGAAGTGGGCTTTGATGACTCACTGGGGATGGGAAGACACTCCGTGCATGCTCCGAGGCGCCCTTACGGCCTCCCCGCCCCAGGCCAACACTCAGTCTAACCACTCCACAACACTGCCTTTCCTAATCCTTCTCCTCCTCTAGGAATGCGTCCCAGCATGTTCTTCCTCTTGAAGAGGGTGCTTCTCTAAGGCGGGGTGCCTTGCAGAGGGGAGAAAGAGGCTTGGAAAACCAATGGCCCAGCAGCTCAGTGGAACACAGCCCCCCTTCTCCAACCACCCAACACCCCCAAAATACCTTCCCGGTTCACACGGTTTCCAAGTACTGGGAAAGAGGCTCGCCCGTGTCCCAGGTCATCCTGGAGCGAGCTGAGCGCCAGCCTGCTTCCCTTCGCTTTCGGCCACCTCTGCAGGATTGCGGGAAGCGCCTTCGCCCCACGGCATCCCCTTCCCCCGCCAAAATACGGCCCACCCTGCCGCCACCTCCGGTGCAGAAGGAATCAGGGCCGGGCTCACCGGCAGGAGGAAAATCACTCCCTGTTTTCGGCACACGCTGTCACACAAGGGCACACCCAAGCCCATCACCATCCGCACCAAGCGCACGAGCCCAAGGCCGGGACGCCCAACAGCCATCCGGCCCCAGGCCCACCTCCGGCAAGGACGCGGCCCCTCCTGCCAGCCGCCCTCTCCCCCAGAACGTCCTGCAGAAGCACCGGCTCTTCCAGCTCCCCGGAACCCAGCTCCCTCCTGAGCCTTCTCCCACCTGCCTTGCTGGCCGTGGGGGGGCTCTCTCCCACGGTGCACATGCCCCTCCCAAGGCAAGGGCCCCCTGCCCCGCCCCGGCCCGCCCCAGCACTGGCTGCTTTTGGAGAAGGTGGCCATGCTGCAAAGCTCGCCCCCCCCCCAGCGCTGGACCCACATTCAGCCCCCTTGGCCGGAGGCCAGGCCCCCAGGTCTCGTTCTGCAAGACCGGGCCAGCGCTAGCACCCCCCTCCTTCCAAAGGCCTGGCCATCCTGCGTCCACCTTCCCGCTGCATTTGGGGGCGCCCAAACCATCCCCCCCCCTCCCCCCAACTTCTTTAAAAATTCGGGTCTTCCCAAATTTTTCCCCCAACAAAGGGGGCCCCACCCCCCCCCCCCCCCGGATAAAAGTGGCACACCGCAGTGGCCACGAGGCTCCAGCGACGCAGTGACGGCGCTGGCGTCTCCCAAGCAAACATCATTACGAGCGGCCGCGAGCGTTAATTGCTGCGAAAACAGAACAGCCGCGGAGGTACCTGTGCAGATAAACGGATACCGAGAAAGATGGGGGAGAGGCAGAGGAGGGCCGGGAGGGAAGACAGGCAGATACGCCAAGAAAGAGAGAAGGAGGGGAAAGACGAAAAGGGAGGAAGGGGGCGCGTGGAGGGCCGGGGGAGGTCTGCACCCATCTTTCCACCCACGCCGGCAAGATTCTGGTGCACGCCTGCTTATCCCCCTGGATGTGGGGCTGTAGCCCCCTGGGGCTCGTGGGTGGGGGTCGGACGCTGCTCCGACATGCAGGGACCGCACTGCTACAAAGCTCCTCTGGACTCCACTCCCTGCAGGTGGGGGGGGGGACACACACGCGCCGAGCAGAGAGCGGGGGCGATGCATTCCCCGGCCATGTCCGTCTGAGCTAGGGATGGATTCAGCATCCTGAGAATTCCTACCTGCCTGAACAATGGAGAGAAGCCGGCGATCCTTTATGATACCAGAACATGTAAGCAAAGCTTATTTGCAGGTTTTTTCCCCTCGTCCTCCCCCACGAAACAGAGCGTGGTTCAGCCAGGCCTGCCCTTTTTATCTCACCTGCAGCCTATGAAGTCAACGGGCTAAAAGGTGAGCCGCCCAGGTGAGCGTCTCAATTGAGAGAGGATTTGAATTTGGGTCTCAGACACAGTGACTACTACACCGCACCGCCTTTCACTGGCTGGGGAATGCTGGGAACGGTAGGACTTTCCCCCACTAAGCCAGCATAGGACAGCACCGGGGAGCTCACTTGTTCGTCTGCCTGTTTTTAATTCTGTGCCCTAGCTCTCCACCAAAATGGGTGCTCATCAGCTCAGAAGCAGTTCCGACACGGCAGGAGACGTCTCAGCACCCGCTCCGAATACGGGTCTGACCTCAAAAACAAGAGAAAGGCCCTGAACTGCAGCGGCAATCATCAGCACGTCTCCGTTATCAGCAGCCCTGCGGGGCCTGGGCACTGTTGGCCCCGCAAGCAGAAGGCGAAGAAGCTCCGTGCCGGCAGATGCGCACAACCCGTTGCAGCACAGGGCAGACTGGCTGTGCAGAAGGAGCCCCCGCCTGGGCCAGGGGGGGCCGACAGCGCCGGCCGTTCTCCTCCGAGAAGCTTTTCCGTTTGAGGACTCGGGTGTGAGGGGGAATAGTGTCTGCCGCTGAACTCCATGGCCCATTCAACCGCTGGGGGTGTGGGATGCACGAGGCTCAACCCTTCCCCGCCCCCCCGGCCCCACATCCAGACGCAGATCTGCCTCTGGATGCGGAGCACATCCCTGAAAGGGACACTGGGGGCCCAGCGGCAAGATGAGCGCTCACCAAGTCCATCATCCACAGCAACACGCCAAACAAAACCCGTCTCGCACTGGTGCTTCTGCCACAGAACACACATGCCCCAAGCCATCAGACCCGATTTTCATCCGTTCTCCTCTCGATCGCCACTGCGGATAAACGGGAAATGCTCTTGTTGAGCCGTGGAGGCCGGTGGGAGCGGAGAGGGATCCCTTTGCAGGAACGGAGGTTCCTCGGGCGGCGAGGGGAGGCAGCGCCCCGATTCTCGCTCTGCACTGGGTCCTTCCCACGTGGCAAAGTGGGGGGCTTACGGCCCACTTGGGGAGCCCTCCCTGAGCTGAGGGGAGGCCCGGCGGAAGGAAGAGGGTGCACTGCGAGCTGCTCCACCCCTGGCCCTCACCGCCTGCTCACCTGGCCACCTCCTGCTTGCTTGCCGCAGCCGCTGGACCTGAGGTCTCTGGGCAACCTGCCCCCCCCCAAGAGAGGGCCAAGCCTGCTTTCCCCCGGCCGGGGGGGGCGTCTCCCCACTTTGGTGCTGAAAGGCCACTCCGAAGGCTGGGGGAGTGGCAGGAAGCACTGCGAGATGCTGGCAGTTTAGGCCCCGCCTTTGCGGCCTTTGGCTCCGCCCCATGCCCGCCCCCGGCAGGCAGCCCCCAAGACCGTCTCCAAACTGGAGTCCAAGAGCAGGGGTTCAGCTATTCAGCTACCTTGCGGAGGGTGCAAGGCGAGAGCTTTGTCTCTCTCAGGCAGGGGGTGGCCGGGCCGAGCCTCCCAGTTCAGGCGCAGTCTACCT